TCTGCCGTTGCATTTTACTTTGGCCCATACTTGTTCAGCACCAAGATGTTCAGCTGTTCCGATACATTGCGGATTGAATGTCTTGTCGATTGCGATAAGAACACCGCCCCAGCCTTTTCTCTTGATACGCTGAAACTGTTCAGTGGCAGGTGATCTATCGCATCTGAATACTTCAAAGTTCGGCGGAAATATCTCTGATGAAGAAACATCTGCGTTGAGGTGCGTTTCGCTTAACATGTAAATTTTAAAAATCGCTGCTAAAACTTCAGATAAAAAATCAACTGATTTGTCTATACTTTTCACGCCGTTCAAATTATTACAGTATATCAAAACGTCATCAAACATTGTATGACTTACATTCCATTGTGATTTTGAACGTTGAACGGTTGGAAGTTTTGATGTGGTGCGTGTGTATAGTGCGGATGGAATAGTGGCATAGTTGGCTGAGAATGAACCTGTTGCTGAGGTGGAGGGTAGAAATATGGCGTTTGGTACCAAAAAGGAGGCGGCATATTGGTCTGTGGCAATTGTCCATTGTGCATGTGATCTACACGATGGCGAGGTTCATAATTATATCGACCGTTGTGGTTATTACGATTTCGATTATGGTAACCAAATTCATTCGATCGATCCTCACGTCGGCGTCTGTGTTGGTTATTCATGTCCCGACGCTGATTGTTGTTGTTGTTATTGTTCCGGTTGTGTCTGGTGTGATGTTTGTTACTGTTGTTGTTGAATCTATTGGAATGTCGTGAGTTTGAAGTTGACTTGGCTGTTGTACGACGGTAGTCATTGTGTTTTCGCCCATGAACATTACTTCGATTACGTGTTTTTTCAAAAGCTCTAACACGATATTCACTTGACCAGATATCGGAGTTGCATAGCAATTCACATACCCCCCGTGTGAATACGGTTATTTTGAAAGCATTGTAGGTTTTGCGGTATTTTCTTTTGCTGGGCAGTGCAAAAACCTTGAATATATCCGGGTTTAGGTTGGCTTTTTCCATTAAGTAGCTGACAATATCATCTGAAGATGAATCTGTATCAGCTTTGGAAACGTACAAAGTGTATAGTCCATTTGCATCTTCCGTCGGTATTACAATTCGTTTGGTATGCCCATTTGGTTTGTTGGATACGCTAATGTTAGCCGGCAACATACCAGGTTGGTTCATTTGAGATGTTTGATTTGAGTTTTCATGACTTCCACTCGGTTTATGTACATTGGATCGGTCGAAGCCATTATCATTTTGCGTGTGACTTCCGAATTCCGCTGTGCAAACTTCACACGTAAGTCCAAATGGTGTGTTTTCATCAAAGAATTGTTGGAATTCATTCACTTTGTTTACACTCGGTACACCTTTGAAAACGAAATATGGATTGCCATCACTGTCCTTCGCTTCACTCATCAAATCGAATATGAATAGGAGTTTTTTCGTTCGCAGCTCATCACGGTCACGTAGACATTTTGCATTCATTTTTTGTTTACAGAAACGACAATTTAAAAAAATATCATGATAACCTTTGCAATCATTTGTTGCACAAGAGTGTGGTTCAGTATGTGTTGACATTTTGTGGTTATGTGAATGGTAAACAACCGATTGATGGATCCGAAGCAAGCTATGATGAAAATGATCCGATATTGATTGACCGATGTACAAATTTCCCACGTATCAATGTCACTGAGGAATTGGTTATGGAAAAAATCCACGATTTACCAAACAATTTGGTGTCTGGTCCCGACGGAATACCGAATATGTTCATCAAAAACTGCATTCACACATTGCTGAAGCCAATAACACACATATTGCGTGAATCGTTAAATTCTGGTTGTGTACCGAACACATGGAAACGCTCTTATGTAAGACCAGTGCACAAAAATGGAGCTAAGTACAAAATTGAGAACTATCGTGGAGTAGCACTGCAATGCATAATACCTAAATTGTTGGATTCGATAATTGCAAATCATTTGAATTATCACATGAGGAACATCATCGATAGCAGCCAGCATGGTTTTGTCAAAGGAAAGTCAACAATAACGAACCTGGCCGAATTTACATCACATACACTGATCGGCATGCAACATGGAATCCAGACTGATGCAATATATCTCGACCTTGCTAAAGCGTTTGACTCGGTTGACGTGAAACTGCTCATACACAAGCTGAAAATTATGGGATTGAATGAGCAAATACTGGAATGGATAAAGTCATATCTAAGTGAACGTCAACAAATAGTAAAATTGAATGGAGCCATGTCTACTCCCATTGAAGTAACATCGGGAACAGGTCAGGGATACCCGATTGGAGCGACACTGTTTGTTCTGTTCATCATTGATCTTCCCCATTGCATAGTCAACTCCAACTTACAATCGTTTGCCGATGACACTCGCTTTTCAATGCAAATAAAGCAAGTCGATGATTGCCTAGCACTTCAAGCTGACCTGAATAGAGTCGTCAAGTACTTCAAACGTAAACGCATGAACTTGAATGTCAAAAAAACGAATTACGTATCATATCACCGTGGCGAGCTGAAATTTGACTTCAAGTACACCATTGAAGGCAAATCAATTGACAGGGTAAAAATAATAAAGGACCTTGGAGTCGTTTTGGATGAAAAAATGAACTTCGATGCTCATATTGAGTACATAACTGCTAGAGCCAAATCTAGACTTGCGTGGATTAAACGTTTTGGAAGAGAGTTCGATGACCCATGGACTATAAAGAGACTCTTCTTCACGTTCGTATTGCCAATCATTGAATATGGATCGCAAATATGGAACCCATACACCAATGAGAAAATCGCTAGAATCGAATCAGTCCAAAAACAATTTCTACTGTTTGCACTGAGAAAAATGAAATGGCCACACAGATTCATTTTGCCACAATACAACAATCGTCTGCTATTTCTACAAATGATTACCTTGGAAGAACGAAGAAAAATCGCACAAATTTGCTTCATACACAATGTTATCTGTGGCCAAACATCGTCGAAGCATATTATGGAGAAAATTAACTTAAGAACACCACGACTCCGAACACGGAACACCGAATTCCTAGAGCTGCCGACCAGAATCTACAACTACTCAATGTTTGAGCCAATTAACTACATGCTCATCACATATAATGAATTTTATAAATACTTTAATATCATAGAGCCAAATCAAACGAATGATTGTGATACTAGTACTATTCCAAAAATATATAAAACTTATTTAATTGATTTTAATGTTAGCACAAACACTGTCAAGCAAAGAATAACTGATTATTTTAGAAGAAATAGAACTTGGAGAGACTGAAAATACGAATTCATTATAAATATTGTAAATATATAACCAAATATTTATACCAAATAAACCACCTCTGGCGAAGAAACGCTGTATGGTGCAGAATAATAATAATAAAAAAAAAAAAAAAGTAAAAATGTACTGATAAAAACAAAAATTAAAATAAAATGTTTGTGTTTTTTGCATTAGTTCTTTATGAAAAAATCATTCTTCAGAGTTTCTTACGACACTGCGCCTTCTTGACAGTTCTCATATATATGAGCCCAGAAGCGCCAACTGGTGCAAGAACATGTAATAGAACCGTTGTATACCAATAGTATTCAGACGCTTACACGTTGGGTATACTGTTATTGACTGTTTTGAATAGTAGCTCTTTCACATAAAAACATAAAAATCTGCTTGCATTACACTGATATCTCTCTTATTCCATTGATATTTTTTCCAAAAGAGAAAAAAAAATATTTCAAGCCTCAATTGCACAGCATATCACTATTAGAATCATTGTGTCGACATGAATCAATCAATAAAGAAACCAAAACAAACACAAACCACACAATGAAATACCACGTTTGTATAAAAATAGCAATCACTTGAAGCGAAAAACTCAAAAAAACATGTTTCAATAAAAAACAATATTCTAATATTTTAGAAAATATAAAATTGAATGAAATTGAATAACTGCGACAAATGTCACTTCATGTTGTCATTGAAACAATCGGAACGTGGAACGTCTACAAATGAACTGACATTTGTTCGCAATTCTTAAGTTACTCTTGTGTTGACAAAAACACGCAAAAACACGAGAAAAATGTTTGATTTTACGTTTTAAAATAACAAGATTAAATTCTTGCATTGAAAAAAAAAATATTCGCGCTTTTTAATATAAATAAACTTAAAATATTTCTTGAGAACAGAAAACCGCTCAATAAGCAACTGACACATGTATATATTTGTATACAAGCTTTTGAATTTGACGTACGTTGTGCTTGTAGTACTTGTTCTTGCACCAGTTGGCGTTGACGTAAGAAGGCATAGCGTCGCGTCAAAATGAGTTTTGGCCATTTTTATACGTTGAACCTACTTTTCAGTAGAAAATGAATGAGAAATGTATGACCGCTCCAGTTGCTTCAAGCAAAAATAAAAATGGCGCCTCCATATGACATGACATTTCTATCTTTGTACTTGTATTGTGCAGCTCAACTGTCAGTCTTCAATCCCCCTGCCACAAACTTGATGACAAATTCAATGTCAAATTAGTCACAGAATAGTGGTTTATCCCAGTTTGCGATGAAATTTAGAGGTTATGTTTTCTCTGTGAAGAAGTACATATAAAGTGCGTGTAGTTCACTTGCTAGCACCAGTTGGCACTTCGGAGCATTTTAAATGGGAACTGTCAAGAAACCGCAGTGTTGTGCGACCCCGTTGAAATATCGTCAGACTTTTTGGTTTAAATCAATACTGATGCTAACAAAATGATTTAGGGAAAATTAAGATTTTCATCATGTTCCATAGACCCGATGCACTTTAAATTTAGATAGTTGGTTGGAAAATTAACTCACCGAGTCATCATTCTCAACTAAACACAAAAAAACCACATCCTCACGCATAAGTCGGACAGCTACATGTAATGGATGATCACCTAGGAAAAATTAAAAAGATATTTGTTCACCATTGAATAAATCGCCACTTGAAACTGTGCCGGTATTCTACGACAATTTTGAATATTTATATCAAATAAACCACCTCTGGCGTAATTTTCTACGTACTTTTAGTTTTGAGCATTTTGTACAGTAATGGACTGGTCATATGCTCGAAGTCCTGCGGAGTTAAGTCATCCCAATTTGTTGAAATCAAACCGGAGCAATATTCGAGTAGGCTATAAGCGCCAACCTCTTCTGCAACACAATAAAATCGAACGCATGAACGTACTCCAACCGATGAAACTAAAGCACGTTCGCATAAGCCCAACAGCCCAGGCAATTGAAACCGATGGGATGCCCGCAATAGGCCCAATGCTAACGAGTCGTGTTGTAGATCAATTATGTCAGTATAAAGCCAACGGAGCAGCGCATAGCCGATATCTGATTCAAGGTCGCTCCAATCTAGTTAATAGCAAATTGAATTATTTACATTAGAAAATTTATATTTCGCCATAAAACTCCCTGTGACTTCCTATTAAAGTATTCATTCACCCAATACGTTTATGTCGGCCAATTCTTCCTCGCTCCATACCTCGGATCGAGCATTTAGAACGAATTTGTGTGCTGGTATAGTTTTGTCATTTAATCGAATCGTTACATCGGAATATGTTTTTCGTCCATAAAGTGTGGCCACTGTCATTATCAAGCGAGAAACAAAGCTGCTAAATTCCCCCAAATCTTTCTCACCAAGAGCTGCAGCTGCTTTGCAATATTTTCTTTCAAGTTCCGCATAATTTCGTTGCAATTTCGTGTATTCTTCTTTCAGCAATTTGAGATGGCCCTCGAGTTTTTCAGATGTATCACTTGCAGCTTTGAAACGAAAAAAACAACATGAATGTATTACTTTTAATTCTAGCAAGTCGAATTTCAATAATAATTCGACTGTGTGACGCCCATTTCACAATATATGATTTAAAATCGATTCATTTTTCAAACATTAAACATTTACAGTTCACATACCCATTTTGGAAGAACTTTAATCAAATAATTGTTATCTCTTTCTGAGAATATCCAAAGAACTGGACATTTAAAATGAATTTTCTTAATTTTTTTTATGCCTTACAAATTGAACAATTTCAATTTTCTTTGTTTTTCGCGACCGCATATACACGAAAGTTCACGATTTATTTATTTATTGTTATCAAGTTAGAAACCACGAATGTTGAAAAGAGAACTTAAACCTGGTGTGCACAAAGAAAATGTTTGAAATGTATTTTATATTGCTTCATATATTCGGCAATACTCTTTGAATTATTTATAAAATGATAATGTTAAATCTTCTCGCAATTGTCAATGTATGATGTGTCAACTCAAATAAATTTGGTTGGATGTCGCACAGTGGCGCTTTTGTTAATGAAGAGAACAACTCACAACTACATGTGTATTATGTACTTAGTAAACTCACAAATACGTATAAGAATGTAAATTGAAACATAATTTCGATGCAAAAGAAATTATTAGGGATTTTTTCTTTTGTATTTTGAATGCTTCCTCGGTCTGGATTTCGATTTTCGAACATTCCCAATTTAATTTTATTACGCGAAAGCGTTATATGCGTGTACTATATCGCCAGAATGTATACAACAATAAAACCATTGTACGTAAGCCACAAACGCATTTATTGTAGTACCTATATATTTGGGCGTTCAAAGGGAAAAAAAATAAGGACATTGGACGGTATTCAAAGGTTTTGGCAAAAATGTTCAAACGGCCATAACTTGACCGAACGCCGACCGATTTTTATATTTTATACAGCAAATGACATAACATTTACATCATGTAATTTACATGTAAGAAACCTGTAAGAAACTCTGAAGAATGATTTTTTCATAAAGAACTAATGCAAAAAACAAAAGATTTTCGATTGAAAATGAAGAAAATTTGTATTCTATTTTAGTTTTGTTCTTTCGTTATGTAAAAAATTAATTCTGATGATGAGCAAAAAGTGAATTAAATATTCTTCATGTAATTATTTATTTATGTAATCAACATTTTTAATCGTCTTCTATCAACTATTTATGGAAATATTTGCATAGTGATTCGATAATTCTGCATTTCCATATAAAAAATGCGACTTTCAGCACGCATTTAATCAACGTCTTATACAGTAAAACCTATCAATAACGGAACCTGGGAATAGTGAAAATCGTGTCAATAGTGGAAAAAAAATGTGGCCGTTGAGCTCTCCCATACAAATTGACCTGTTAATAACGGAAAACCGAACTCCCAATAGTGGAAAAAAATTTCTTGACGAAATTTTTTTTCGTCTTTTATTCATCTCGTTTTCATGTAAAACTTATTTTTTCCTTTATCAAAACCACTGATCATCATAAAAATTGTGCAGTACAATTTACATTACATTCATTTCAGTATTATTTTTTACTTTTGTCTGCCAAAATCATTGCTTTTTTATTCAAGCAAACAAATTTTTGACGCTCCCAGTAAAAACATATTCACTCGATCAGTGCATTTACATTAAGTTTGGTAATCATTGTTTCGTTTCATGAAATGCAGAATTCATCGCTGCCAAATTGATAGTGTAAAAAATGAGTATCATTTACCTTCCCATTTTGAGTCATTGTTTAGACTGCTTGATTATTTTAAAAAGTGATGTTTGTCATTCACTCAGTGAATCTCACTGTTTTTACTTTTCCGTACACAACGTGTCAAGGGAAAGTATAGGAATTAGTCCCGAAAACTTTTTTCGCAAAATTAGCTTAGATCATCATAAAAACTCATGAAACGCGTAGAAAACCACTTTTTGAGACACTTTTCCGTTCGTGTGCCGTCGTCGTCGTTGTCGTTGTCGTCGTCGTAGCTGTTTGTAAACACGATAACTCAAAAAATAATTGAGATAATCAAAATCTGGAATTGCCAAAAGTTTTGTATTCGAAAAACTTAGTTTAAGTTCGAAGATGAGCCATTTTCGATTTGATCCTGGGGTACTTGCCCTAAGAAAAACCTCAAAAAATTAACACTTTTGTATGGGAGGTACCCGTAAATCGACTCCGATTGGCTTCGAACTTTCTGGGAATTCATTTTTTGGGAGAAAAATAAGATTCTAAAATTTTGGAATCAATCAGAATCGATTTACGGGTACCTCCCATACAATTTTTTTGAACTTTTGACTAAAATTACCGATTTTTGGACTATTTTGTATGGAAGGTAACCGTTAATCGATTCTGATTGGCTTCAAACTTTCTGAGGGTTTTTACGCAGGCCAACGGTACGGAAAAGTTCGGGATTACCAATGGTATTCATTTTATTTCACTTTCGTTTTTCCTTCATTCATTCAGCAAAAAATACTTTTATTTCATTATTTCCTTTTCACGTTCATTATATCACTTGATTTGATAATTGAATACCCATAAAAATGTATTACTTTTCCCACGGCGTATTTTAGTGGCAGTTCCGGCTCAAACGGGCAGTTCTGAAATCAGAACGGGCAGTTCTGAAATCAGAACGGGCAGCTTCGAAATCGAAGGAAATGAAGAAAAAACATAACAAAAATTTAAAAATCGCGCTAAAGCAAGCCAAGATTTCAGAACTGCCAAACTGAACAAATACAGACAATAAGTCGCGCAAATCAAATGTGTGAGTTCTCTTTGATCGATATTAGGTATGATTTTCACATGAATAATATAAATGTATTGAGTACGAAGTGCTGCATATCAGCGAAAATCGTTGCTGTAATTGTATTTTTGTATTGTCATGAATTATGTGTATGTATAGAAAACTGTGCATCGAGCATTGTATTTATTTATTTATTTCATTTATTTATTTATTTATTTATTTCACCGCCAAAAACTGGCTGAATATTGGGTTTTGCAGGAAAATGACTCCAAGAGTCATGAAAAACCTGATCTTTTGTTTTTATACAATTTAGTTTAGTTTGATTTTTACGTACATTGACAAGAGTAAATATATTCCATTAAAATAAATAACAGGTCAAAGAAAAACAATCACCAACTCAATGGATGGCTATATCACAGTCAATGTTGCTAAATTTACGATAAATTAGTATAAAAATCACAGTTTTGCCTCAATAATTCTATACATTTAGTAAGGATGTAAATACGATTTTTCAGTACTTTAAACTAAAGACTTGGCTGTGCTCTTTTCGTACTGATGAAATGAAGCTTGCGCGACTGGTTGAATTTTTGAATGGAACGGCCACTTTGTTTGCGTATTTGCACAATTGTGGCATTTGAGCTCTAATCTGTTTATCCATCAGATTGTCCTTGATCTTTAGGTAGTTAGTGTGGCGCAAGGTACGAATGCTCTCACCTACTGCTATATCATTGCGAACAGTAGGACAGTTTGCGTATCCATTCACGATATCGTAAGTAAATACAATTGATGCATTTACTCTCCTTCTTTCTAAAGAAGTCATATTCAGGGCTTCGAGCCGCTTGTTGTATTCGGTGATATTATACCCGTTGGCCACTGATCGATACTCTCTTCTGGCAAACTGAGTAAATTTCCTCAAAACACTCTCGATTTTGTCGATATGTACGGCATAAGTTGGTAGCCATACGACGTTACAGTACTCGAGATGAGACTGAACCAATGCGTAATATAGTGTTTTTAGCGTCTGAACATCGGTGATGTCGTAGCAAAATCTCCTGATAAAACCAAGGGCAGCCGTTGCTTTCGATGTAATTGCGTCGATGTGCTTGACAAAACTGAGCTTCTGGTCAATGATGACGCCGAGATCCTTGTGGTCCGAAACGCGCTTGAAGGTAAAATCACCATATTTGTAATTAGTATCGATGATATCCTTCCTTTTCGTGGTGATTGTATCACACAGCAAAAACTCTAAATATTGATCGAATAATTATTG